GGGGATTTTGACCCATCAATTAACAATTATGACCCTTGGCTTATTCCCCTCTGAGCATTTACCACACTATGCATAGTATCATCATTATCTGTTTACTTATCTAACCTTCTTCATCAGTTATTCACTGAGCACTTGCTACATTCCTGAAACTATCTAGGAGCTAGAGTTTCACTGTTGAATTATTCCATTATTATTATTTTCCAAGTGATAAATATAAAACTGAGATAAAATATACTATATGCTTTTTATTGCTTCAATCCTTTTTACCACAGAAAGTTCACCCACTTAAAGTGTACAATTCAATGTTTTTTAGTTTATGGAGTTGTGCAACCATCACCATAATCTAATTTTAGGACATTTAACCACTCTAAAGGTACCCCCACATTAGCAGTCATCTCCCCCAAACCTCCTTAACCCCTCTATTCCGAGGCAACCACTAATCTATCCTCTTTCTCTATAGATTTGCCTATTTAAGACATTTCCTATAAATGGAATTATACAAAATGTGGTTGCTATTTTCACTTAGCGTAATGTTTTTGAGATTCATTCATGTTGTCACATGTAGCAGTACTTCATTCCTTTTTATTGCCAAATAATATTCCATTGTGTGGATGCACTATATTTTACTTAGTCATCAGTTGATAGACATTTGAGTTCTTTCCACTTTTTGCTTCTGAATAATGCTGCTATAAACATCTGTGAACAAGTTTTAGTGTGGGACTGTTTTCATTTCTCCTGGGTACATACCTAGGAGTGGAAATGCTGGGTCATATGGTAACTGTTTTAACATTTTGAGGCACTGCCGAATTGTTTTACAAAGTGACCGCACCATAGGTACTGCACCATTTTATATTTCCACCAGCAAGGGATAAAGGTTCTAACTTCTTCACTATTGTTTGAATTTTATAGAACATTCTCACTACACAATATTCTTACCCTCACAGAACTTATATTCTGATGGAATAAGAAATAAACAGAAATAAATGGGTTAATTTTAGATAGTAAGAAAATGAAGGAAAAAACTGTAAAGTAACAAGACAGTAAGCAAGGGAGAGGGAGTCTCTAGGCAGGGTTGTCAAAAAGACTTCTCTGAGTAGGTAACGTTGAATTGAGACATGAAGACCTAGAGGGGGTAAATTCCAGAGGGAGAAAAGAGTAAGTAATAAAACTCTGAGACAAGAATAAGTTTGGCGTGTTCAAGGAGCAAAAAGGCAGTATAATGTAGTGGCTTAAGTATAAGGAAGAGGTAGAGAAGGTAGGAGATGAAGTTCGGAAGGTAAGCAGAGGCCAGATCACGTTGGGCCTCAGATTTTACCAATGCCCTTAGATTTTACCTATAATTCTGTAATTATTTTTTAAGCCCTTCTTTTTCTTTAAACACAAGTGTTTATCTCTGCAAACATTTATTGAACTTTCATGTATCTTCTGATTACACCTAAAGTTAGCAAATATTAAAGAGACTATTTGGGTAAATCCCACAGCTCTCAATTAGTGTCACCATTTTGTGGCCCAAGAGAGAACAC